ACACACACACACATATATATATATATATATATATATATATATATGCTGTATGCTATATTTACATTTAAAACATTTTTATACAAGGATACTAGTCAAGTCATTCTTAAAAATAAAAATGTATGGAACTGTGTAAGTCATTTGATGCGGACAAAAATTAGAAAATTAATATTCAGTTTAAAAAACAACGTAAACAAAAAGCAGTTGGACTGTGAATGTAGTACCCAGACTTGACTGTAAAACATTGTAGAAGTGATTGAATACAAGATTTTTCTTTGAAAACAAATGAAGTCATCTGCATACGCGCTTTGAAATCTACAGAATACTGATTGATTATATTAAGTTTAGTAGCTCCATATTTACTACTCCTAATGTGTAGTGTGAGATAGCTTTAAGTGGGATGAGTTACTGTTGTAATATGCAGATATCACGTATAACATTCTCTTATAGCTTTTATTTATAATATGGTGGTAAAAACTTTAAGTTGTTCTGAAGGTTCTACTTCAGAGCCAGGTAAGTTTAGCTTGTAAGTCCTGTGCTAACTCAGCTCTTTTTGTTACTCTATAAAACATGAATCGATCAAGTATGCTTTTTGTTGTTGTATAGGATAGTTGTATTGTATCCAATGTCACCCTGGTTGTTAGGTTATTTTACGACTGTCTCATGGAACAGCGATACTTCTAGATACCTGTAATTGGTCAGCTATATATAAATAACACACACACACACACACATATATATATATATTAACGGCCTGGTTGTTAGGGCACTCCACTCGCATATTGCGAGTCGCGGGTTCGCTCGTTTAGTCATGGGGCGTTATAATGTTACGATCAATCCCACTATTCATTGGTAAAAAGATCAGCCCAAGAGTTGGCAGTGAGTGGATGGATTAGCTGTCTTCCCTTTAGTCTATCACTATTAAATTGGGGACAGCTAGTGCAGATAGCCTTCAAATAGTTTTGCGCAAAATTCAAAAACAAACATTTTTTGCGCTTTCAAATAACCAAGACTTGCTCGAGAAATTCTGTTCACGATTTGCTTCTTTGTTGTAATTTAGTAAGAATTACCCTCCAGTCAATCATATTTTTATTTCCAAGTTTGTTGCATTGTAAATCTGTCACAGTTAGCCCATTGTGTAGCTTTGTGCTTAACTTCAAACAAACAAACAAATCCTATATCAGGGAAAAAAGTTACAGCAGCAAACTGCAGTATATAAACGTATTTATTTGACCTTGTTAACGGGATCGGATTTCGTTCAAGGACGCCTGGTTCTTGTGGTGAGAAGGGATGTTCTTGAAACTAACTCACTGGGTCATCTTCGCCCCTCAGTGTACTACAAGGTGAACTACTTAATATTACTTATAAAGTGTACTACTTCGGTGATTTTAAGGTTAAGATTTGAGGCAGTTAATTAATTATTAGGATCACCAGACAGGGCTAGTGTATCAACATGACTTTCTTTTATGGCTTGCAGTGAAATAATTTCATTACTTCTATTGGCTGTTAAGCAGCAAAATTGGGCATGGTTTAATGGATACAAGTCAAGATGTCCAACTAAGACACTATTCACGTAGTGGAATTATTTGTTCTCTGACAATTAGGGAATGTATATTCAGTTTAATTAACAACATCTACAACCAAGGAAAGACAAAGGCTGTAATGCTCCTTCAAAACAATAGTTGTCGATATTACCTAATGAAAACTGTGTTTTATTTATTAGCAGCTTCTTACTGTCAACTTTGTTACTTTATATAAAGTTTTTGCTAATAATATCTGTTACAACAAACGTCAATAATGGCAGAATGCTTCATTTCAATAGTTATATATCGACCATTTCAGAAATATTCCTGGCTTCAATAATTTTGATAAAGTGATTCTTAAGTTAATTTCTGTGTATATAAAGTAAACTATTTTAGATGTACAAGTAAATTTTGTATGAATATGTTTATTTCCCCAATTCATTTTCACAAAACACGGGAGTTAATAAGTTAATGCGCCAGTAGATCATATTT